CTCGGAGAGTAGCCACAACTGATGGGTATGATGGGTATGGCTACTCCCTGGAGATGGTGACCATCGCTGCGGCCCGACCAGTAATAAGTGTAGCCAGCCACACTAAACGTGCTGCTGCCTGGTCTTCTCACCTCCGAGAGAACAGCCACCTCAACTCTCAGCTGCTTCAGCTCCCTCGACAGTAGTGGTAACCGATCGTTCTGTCGCAAAGAACCGATGTTCCAAGCCCCCACCCTGATAGCCCGCCTGAAGTCTAACCTCGGGCAGTCTGGGTGGACACCACCCGGAATAATTAACCGAAATGGTTAATTATTCATCTGAAGTCGAAATCGTGAAGAGTTCGAAATGTTACCTGAGTGTTACCTTTACTACTGTTGCTGTTTTTCCTTTTCATCTTTGTGAACGTGTTACTGTTCATATATATGTATGTGTGTGTGTAACGATATTCATACATATGTACATATATTCCTTTCTTTCAGGAATTCCTCCCGGGGAAGGGTTTAATTCCGAACTAGTGCTCGTGGACGTCACGGCAGAGCTCTCGAACGGGCCAGGTGAGGCGCAGGAGAAAACGTACCATCTTGCCGCCAAGTTCTTTCACGCCGACCCCTTCGCCGCTGAAATCAACAGGAGGTTCCTGAGCCACATCAAGGAGCTCCGCATGTACGCAGAGGTGGTGCACGAGCTCAACGCCTTCCTGGCTGCCAGAGTTCCAGAAGAGTCCCCGATTTGCATCCCGAAGATGATTTATGGAAAGGAGAATGGGAGCGAGTATGTGCTGGTGATGGAGAACATCAAGGCCGCTGGCTACATGACCAACGACAAGAGGAAAGGCCTTGATGTCGAACATGTCATGAGGTCTGTTGAGGAAATTGCAAAGGTCCATGCTGTGTCTTACGCCTACAACAAAGCTCACAACTTCCTCGAAAAGTTCCCCTGTTATCAGTTCAAAATCGAGACGATTACTGTTATCCCAGCATTTCTGACCTGCAGCTTGAAGAATTGCATTGCTTATCTGAATACAGTGAAAGGTAAGGAAGAACTCGCCAAGAAAGTCGAGAATGCACATCCCATTTTGTCCAAGAAATTTCTCGCACTGTACGACGATTTCGGAAATGTGTGCTTATGTCATGGAGATTTCTGGAACTGCAACATTATGTTCAAATACCAACAGCATGACGATAGCCAAGAACAGACCCTCGAGGGAATAAAACTCATTGACTGGGGGAACTCTTCATGGAATAACCCCATATTCGACCTCCAGTACCTGCTCCATACCTCAACCACGCTAGAACTAAGGAAAACCCACATCGATGACATCCTGCAAAAGTACCACACCGTCTTCACGTCCCTCGCCACCAAGCTCGGGGCGCCTTTGCCCCACTACGACTACAGCGCCCTCCGGGAAGACTGGGACCGCACAGCCATTTTTGGGTTTACCTTGGGTAACATGCTCATCCAGGGAACCCTCAGCACAACGAATCCTGCGAATAAACCTCGGGGGCCCTCCATACTCGACCACGGCGCCCTCACGCCCGTCAGACTCATAGTGAACGGCTTCAAGACCGGCATGGCGAAGATCCTCGGACCGATCATTTCGGGTCCGAATGGGGGCAAGTTTATGGAGAAATTCTTTGGCGGAATCCTGAAGCCCATCCAGAAGGAAATTCTATCGGGAACGAATGAAGCTATGAATGCGAGGCTGCTTGAGATCCTGTGTGAGGCAGATGAGAAAGGTCTCTTTGACGAGTAATGGATATTGCGAAGAAATCACTTGAAAATGTACAAATGCATGGCTGCTGAAGTCATTGGGAGGATAAAGCTATTTGTTTCTTGTTAAATTATCACGGGGTTTTATATGATACAGACATACTGTGTACATATACGTGTTTTTATATTTTCTGTAATTTAAATACATAGAACACCACAAGAAACCCAAACGGATTTTATTTGAAAGGGAGAGAGAATGGGGGGGTGGGGCGGAGATTGAGAGTCAGATGAGGAGAGAGGGAAGGAGGGGAGAGGAAATGGGAAGGAGAGAGAGAGTAAGAGAGGGGTAGGGGGAAGGTTGAGAGGAGAAGAAAGGAAGAGAGAGCCAGAGACAGGGAGAGAGAGGGAAAGCATATATATATATATATATATATATATATATATATATATATATATATATATATATATATATATATATATTTATATATATATATATATATATATATATATATATATATATATATATATATATGTATGTATGAACATATATATTATATATATTCCATATATACATGTATATGTATATATATAAATTATATTATAGCCCGCAACCAAATTCATGACGGCGTTAGGATACAGTCTAATGTGGATTTTCCAGGAGTGAATCCAGACTGGTCTGGTCTCTGGTGCCTTAGTAGGTGGTCACGGATACTTTTCAGAAGAATGTTGGCGAAAACCTCGCCTTGTATGGGTGGGTGCTTCATGCTCAGGGTGATGTGAAGAAATGGTGTGGTAGCTTAAGTAGTGTCCAGTGCTTGCATGCCTTCACGCTTGCAGCTGTTAGCAATGGCTCGCCGAGTGTGAAAAAGGGACCATCTTTGCATACGCCTCTCCTGCTAGTTCATAGCTTCACCATCATCGAGACTTTTACAGTGCATCATATGAGGTATGAGGCCTGTGGCAAAAAGCCCATGGGAACCCCACAGGCGGACGTTGGGCCCCACAGCCTGCCACCCCCCTTTATATGGGGCAACATCAGCAGAGGTGGCATCCACCCGGAGCGACTGCCCAGTGGGCTATCCAGGTAGGAGCTTGGAATATCTGATCCATACAGCAGGATGAACAATTACCCCTGCTATCGAGGGAACTGAAGCAGCCGGGAGTTTAGGTGGCTGTCCTCTCGGAGGATGTATGGATGGGTACACCTGCTACTGGTCGGGCTGGGCCGATGGTCGCCAACCCAGGGAGTAGCTATAGCCATCTCCAGTAGACTTCAACCATCGGTAGAAGAGGTAACACCAGTTGACAAGTATATCATCGAATTGATACAAGCATGCCTTTGGATTCATATTTCTTATTACTGTGTATGCTCCTACTAATGTTTGCAAACTCGAGAGAGAGGTATTCAACGACAAAATGACACCTGTGAGAGAAAAGACATTCACATTGTACTGGGTGACTTCAATGCAGCATCCGACTATGATCGAGCTAGCTACGAGATATCTGTCGGTCCCCCATATATATAACACACACACATGTGTATATATATACAAATTGCATAGTAACCACGACTAGCAGATATTCTACCGAAATCACTCTCCCGCGAACACTTTCCCGGATGCAGAGAAGGTTGTTGCAAAGATTAGATACAGATAAGGATGGAACGCTTCCTGATAACGGCTGTTTATCAAGCAACCCTCGAGCATGACGGCGACAGTTTAAAGTCGAACGTAGGTGAGACCAGTGAACATATTTTGCCTCTTGTTTTTACTTCTAAGTACTGACCATGTAATTAAGTATTGATATTCTGTGGTTTGGAAACGAGTGTTTTCTTTTAATAAATGGAAGTAGCTAATGATTTTCGTTTATTTTTCAGTTTTATTTGATTATCAGTTCTAAATATTATCTTTATAATGGACTGGTATTCGGGAAACCACCTGACTCGCTATAAAAGCAAACGTGTTTATTTAAGAGTGTGTGGTCCATGGAATATTCACGAAGCAAACGGAAGCACAGACGCAACACAGATACATTGACATATTCTTTTAAATTTAGCTAGATTTAAATATATAAACGTGGATTATATACTGTATATGATACGATGATGATGGTGATGACGGTGATATTGATGCAAATAATAATAACGGCAGTGATGATAGTGACTATAATAAAGATGATGAAATAATAATAATAATAACAGTAATAACAATAATGATGACGAAATTTAATAATAATATTAATGATAACAATTATGAAGACAATCAGAATAACAATGATACTGATACCCCTCCCCCCCCAATCCCTAGTTCGTTGATGTCGTGGGGGGAAGGGGGGGGGGAGCTTAGGGGACGGAGACTGGGGCCCAATGTTGGACATCACCCTTCCCTTGGGCCTCAACAAACTCGACTAATTTTGCACGGCTATTTTCTCTTTCCCTTTTCGTTTCCTTCTCTTCTCTAACCCCTTCTACTATCCACTTTCTAAGGTGTGAGAGAACCGTGTTGACAGAATGAACGGCCTTGGGAAGCCATGGGCACGGTATTCCCCTGTTTAGTTGTCTCGCCCCGACCTCAAGCTTACCTTCGACCACGACACTGAACATTGCTACTACTACTACCCCTTCCTCAATGCCTACTGTCACATCCTCCACCCACGCCAATACTCAACCTCCAGAAGACATTCCTCCTCTCCCAACGTTTACTACCTCATCTACCTAACCCCAACAATTTTCTTTATTAAGTACCCCTCACTTTTTACTACTGTGTAACCTGATTGTCCACCAACCACCGGCAGTACCTCCTTTGCAAATACTTTGAATATTTTTTTTTAGCCCTCCCCACAGCCTCTTACTCTGACAGCACTCTCCTCTTCCCGCAATGTATACAAAACAAGTAGGCAAAGTTTCCCATCTCGTTACAGTTACATCCGAAATCCAAGCTGAAGCGTTATCAGCCCTGGTAGACTTCAGTGGCAAATCCATTCCTGACCAGCTCCATTCCTCCCTCATTAAATGTACCGGGCCTGTCTCCCTCTCCACAACAAACTGCCCTGTATATGAGAAAAATTGACTTACTCGCCTGCCTCATGGACTATGATGCAGAATCGGTACAATACCACACCATTCCCCTTGAGGCAGTCGTAAGTCCCACACCAACATGCCCATGATTACTTTCCGAAGACTGACCTCCCCTTTCATGTTTACATTGGCAGAGAGTCCTTCCCTGTCCGATCATATCAACCTCCCCCCACCAATGTCAGAATTGCTGGCGTCTAGGACTT